AGAAACTTTTCTAATAGGTAAAAAGAAAGAGGAGAGCCCTAGGGGTTGGAGCATCAGCCCTTAGACTAAAGGGTCCTGGGTTCGATTCTGATCAAGGGCACCTTCCTTGGTTGCAAGCTCAATCCCCAGTCCTGGTCAAGGCACATGGGGGAGGCAACCAATTGACTAAACATTGATATTTCTCTCTCTCTCTCTCTCTCTCTCTCTCTCTCTCTCTCTCTCTCCTCTCTCTGTCTCTCCTCCCTTCCACTCACTGAAAATCAATGGAAAAAAATATCCTCAAATGAGGATTAACAAACAACCCTCCCCCCCAAAACAAAGAGAAAAGAAATCAGACCTTTTTTTTTTTTTTTTGGAATCATCATATTTACTTATATGTTGATTTTGTAATCATCATATTTTGGGCTGTTTGGTAGTGAGAAGGGATTATATCTGTCTACTGGTACAAAGAGAAAGGTTTGGGATCAGAAAGCACTTTCAACCAGAATGGGTTCTCTACCAGTCCTTGGTCTTTTTCCCCCTTCCCTCTTCCTTCCACGCCCACACTAATTTATGTGTGGCTTTCCCTCCCTCTTCCTCATGCATTTCCCTTCCATATCAAGACCTTCAGACAGAGGGCGATGTGGATAATTTCCCAGTTTTCCAGATGGGCAGTTCACCGAGAACAAACCCAGACATCAAGGCCAGACCAAAAAAAAATCTTCTTGTTTTAGACAAAAGACTCCTACATCTGGGGGATTTAATGCACCCACTGTCCGCTCGGTGCATTTCCTGTGTCCGGAGCTTCTCTGCCTGCCGGCTCTGGTCTCCTAAGTTTCCATAGCCCGCTGCCAACTTATAATAACAGAGGCCGCGGGCAGGAGGGCAGGAACGCCGTCGCCCTCTCCATCCGTGGGCGCGTGCTTTGCAAACTGAAACAAAAGCTTGGAAGACCTCGTTGCAGGCCTCCCAGCCTTGACAGTGGTTGCGCCCAGGCCACCCGTTCGTTGCCTGGAGTTAAAACCCTCGGATCCAGTTCTCTACCATTAATGTTATCAACTTTATCAAGTACTTCCTCTCTGAGTGGTGTGTGCAGGGAGAGAAATAAATCATGTTCCACCAAGTCCGGTTCCTGCCAGATCCTGAGTCAAAAGTAAAATTTGAGTTGATTATCCAGAGCACTATCTCCCTCCTTTATTGTTCCCAGCGATCTGGGCAGGAACGGAGAGTGAAATCTCTCCAGGACATTACATCAGTTCCTCTTTTACCCTTGGCATGAAAGCTCTTCCTCTCATAGTCCTCCCAGACTTCCTAAGGCTTGCCCTGCGTGCACACCCATACGCTGAGCCTTGAAGCCCGGGACATCAAAGGAAGCTTGTAGGTAACCAGACTACTGGCCAGTGCCTGTGTCATTTTGCTATTTGTAAGACGGGAAATGGATTCAGGAAATAGGATTTTTCAACACATGGCCTTCATCATCCTTAAGTATTTTTAAAACCTTAATAAGCTTTTAAGGAAAGGCAGACATTCTGTAAATGGCATTTAGAAGGAAAGATATGAAACTTCAAAATGCAGCGATCTTAAATACTTACTCACAATGGCCATGTTCTGTGACAAATGACAAGTGTTCATGGCTAGCAGAATCAAGATCCATATTAGCTATGAAAAGAATCATCCCCAAAAGATTACAGGTCATTTATATCATACTAATAATCTCAGCTATTAAAGTCAATACCATGGGTTCAGCCAGAACCTTGAAAGCATTTATTTGCATTTGGGTTCAAGTGACGAAGTTAGTACTTGTCATCCCAACCTGTATCATTGCAAGACTGATTAAGCACTTTAAAAAATAATAAAACACCTTTTTATAGTGGCAAATATCAAACTGATACACAAGTAGGGAGAATTATACTGTATAGTGAACCACCATGTACCTATCTCCAGCTTTAAGGATCACGTGTGGCCATTCTTGTTTCCTCTGTGCCCCAGGTACACTCTGATTCACCTTCCAGATTATTGTAAAGCAAATCCCAGATATATAATTTCATCTGTAGATATATCAGCACAGGTCTGAAATGATAAGGACCTCTTATAAAATCATACAGAGTTATTAAATCGCCTAAAAACTAATAGATCTTTAGTATCACCAAATATCCTGTTAATGTTCACATTTCCCCAACTATCTCATCAATGTTTCTAAGTTTGAATCAGAATCCAAGCAATATGTAGAGACTCTGTGTTATGTTATACTGGTGTCCGGGACATGGATTCATGCACATTGAAAGGAAATTAATTAGAAGGTGGCCGGCAGGTGGGACTAGGCGAGATGGGCCGGACACACCCTGGAGCCAATCTCCTGCGGTCTCTCCTTGGCGCCAGGGCTCAAAGGGTATATATGGAGTGAGCAAGGTCCCTCTGGCAGGTGGGGGTTTCTCGGCCTGGCCTGCGCTCTCTGACATCCACTGAGGTCCCCTTTGCAAGAGGGCAGTTCTCAGGTGATGCACCCCAGAATCAGTTCCCTCCTCTCTGATTCAGGGTGTATCACCCGAGAACTGCAGCTGCCAAGTCACTGCAGCTTGGCAACTCCTGGGTTGAGCATCTGCCCCCTGGTGGTCAATGAACATCATAGCTACCGGTTGGAGTGTCTGCCCCCTGGTGGTCATTGCGCATCCTAGCTACCAGTCAGGTGGTCGAGTGGTCACATGGTCATGTAGGTTTTTACTAGTGCATGTAGTTAGATAGATAGATAGATAGGTAGGTAAATAGATTCCTCCAAAAGATGCTGATTTTTATTCTAACAGGCAGTTAAATGACTAGCTAGTCATTTTGAATTTGTTGAATCTTGATCTTATTAATACATTTAGTTAGGACAGATCTGCTTCAGTTTAGCCTTTAGCCCTTTGTCCTAGAGCACTATCCTTACTCATAAGGTGTGGCCATTCTGGGTTAATACACAGCCTGAGATGCTTACAGAGCTTTTTAATAGAACTTAAAATCCAAATTCTGTCTTCAACACAGTGACCAGTAGCTGAGATTTCTGCTCCTATCTTTCAATCATCCAGCTGTTGCTTTCCACTGAGCTCCTTAGAGAGTTTCCCCAGTGCATGTGCTATTCAGAGCACACGTTAAAGATTTGAGGAAACTTTATGTGCCAATTTAGTGATATTCCCTCTGAAGCTCTCTTTATGAGACTTGCTCTCAATTTTTTGCCATTCTGGCAGCCATACCTGAATCCTTGACACCTCAAGCAACTTTCAAGTCATTTTCTGCCTGCCCCACATTACATGGACATCCTCCTGGCAAAAGCTCGGCAAATTGGTATCTCACTCTGTGCAGTTCTCTTCTTTCAAGAGTGAAATCCCCGTCAGTTTATTCCATTACCTTCAGATAACTTTTAGAAATGTATTCTATCCAGATTCTATTATTTCTACGTGCAGGAACGTTAGTTCAATACAAGCTACTCTGCCATTATTGAAAACTGGAATCCCCTTCTTGGTTAGAAAAATTGTAACATACCGCTGAAACCGGTTTGGCTCAGCGGTAGAGCATCCGTCTGTGGACTGAGAGGTCCCAGGTTCGATTCTGGTCAAGGGCATGTACATTGGTTGTGGGCACATCTCCGGTAGGGGGTGTGCAAGAGGCAACTGGTCAATGTTTCTCTCTCATCGATGTTTCTAGCTCTCTATCCCTCTCTCATCCTTTCTGTAAGATCAATAAAATATATATTTTAAAAAAAAGGAAAATTGTAACCTACCATAAATACTTTCTTTTGCTCTGCTTATCTAACCATAGAGCCTAGAGACCAGCGCTTAGCAGAATAATGAGATGCTCCTCATTCCATTTTATAGCCACGCAGTCCTCCACTGTCCAGAGGTATACTATAACTTACTAAGCAGTTGCCTCCTGGTAGCTATGCCAATGAGACCGTTCTGGGAATAGATATGGCCAGAAAAACTTCATGAGGATGAGTGCGGGGCCCTATAGAAAGCTCCATTTTCATAGTTGGATTTATCTCCTTCCTCTTCTTAGCAGGGACTCAAAGCCAAATGTATGCTAGCTCCTCTCTCCACCCAGCCTACAGAACTATAATACTTCTGTTGCCGCGCTGTGTAGACTTCTGGGTTGTCTTTGCTCACACGTGACCAGCTTGAAAGTTCAAGTGGGATGGGGTGGGGTATGTTACTCCTTTTCACTGACCTCTGCCTGTCTTTAAGCACCTGTGGGTAGGGTCTGCGCACTCAGAAACAGAGTGATCCTAATTGTTCTTTCAAGTACAATCAGATTGTCATTCTGTACATTAGCCCCACTATTCATGCTTAGAGCAGGTTAAGGTGTTACTTCCTCCCCCGGTTTGTATATAGAAAAGTGGTAGATAATGCAATTGATGCATGGGTTCTAGAATCTGATTGGAATCTGGTTCTAATCCCCTTAACTGGCTCTGGGACCTTGGGTAAATTGCTTACCTCCTTTATGCCTCCATTTTTTTCACCTATGAAGTCGGATTAAGGTAGTGAGTAGCTGCCACTTAGGAGTATTGTAAATTTTCAATAGCACAATGCAGAAGCTAGGATATAATAATTGCTTTACTATTATTATTATTATTATTATTATCATTATTAAATACCCATAACTCCTGGAGATAGAGAAAATGAAAATTTGCGTACGAAAACTTAAGTCCGGGAAAGCATCTAGAGAGAAACCCTTAAGGACTCTGAAAGCCACATGCAGAGCCAAAAGTAAAGAATGAAAGTTTGGCCTCCTCGTGTTGGTAAGCCACAAGCAGGTGATTAATGGAATGTTTGTAGACATTCTTAGCTGACTAGTGGCAGGGAAAGAATTCCAACTATGCGCACTTGAAGTTTTTCTAAACTGGGGGTGGGAAGGGGAGGAGGGGGACAGCCCAGCATCCTGGGCAGAGAGCGGCTGCATTGCACACCTGCCTGCTCACCGTGGAGCTGCAGTGAGGTCCCTCCCCTGGCAGCTCACCGGGGGCTCTGATGGTCTCTCCCTCTGCCCCACAGATAACTGTGTCCAGAGGACCCCGAGGCCTTCTGTGGAGAACGTGCACCACAACCCTCCCACCATTGAACTGTTGCACCGCTCTCGGTCACCCATCACAACCAATCACCGGCCGTCTCCCGACCCAGAGCAGCGGCCCCTCCGCTCCCCCCTGGACAACATGATCCGCCGCCTCTCCCCGGCCGAGAGGGCCCAGGGACCAAGGCTCCACCAGGAAAACAACCACCAGGAGTCCTACCCCCTGTCGGTGTCTCCCCTGGAGAATAATCACTGCCCGCCGTCCTCCGAGTCCCACCAGAAGCCGTCCAGCCCCCGGCAGGAGAGCACACGCGTGATCCAGCTGATGCCCAGCCCCATCATGCACCCTTTGATCTTGAACCCCCGGCACTCCGTGGATTTCAAACAGTCCAGGCTCTCCGAGGACGGGCTGCACAGGGAGGGGAAACCCATCAACCTGTCGCATCGGGAAGACCTGTACATGAACCACATCATGGTCTCCGTCTCTCCGCCCGAGGAGCACGCCATGCCCATCGGGAGGATAGCAGGTAAGTGGGTGCTCCCCTCTGCCGCCATGTCAGCCTCGGGCAGGCCTCACAGAGGCCCATTCCCTCCTGAGAACTTTGCAGCCAGCCTCACACCATCCCCAATTAGGTGCCCTCCAGGGCTCTGAGGGACTTCTGTCTGGATAAGGCGAAATCCCTAATGGGCTAGTTAATGAGCTACCGGGACCCAGTGGTTAGTGAGCCTCAGAAATGTTAAGGAACAAATGTCCTACATCCCGCTTATAGGGAGAGTCACATCAGAGTCATGGCTAAGCAAAAACGCTTAGAATAAAAGGTTTATGAGCATGTTAATGGCCCTGTCCTGAAGTTTCCAGCCGCTAATTAATAACCAGACACAGCATAAAGAACCTTTGTCTCAGGCACAGGCCTGTAATCCACCCTGTGGGCAGTAGCTCAGCGCAGCCTTCACTTGGGAGGGGGAAGAGGGTGGTGTTAGGGGCAGGTGTTGGGTCATTGGGATGGAGGAAACCACTCTTGAATTCTTTTACAATGACAAGCCCAGATTTGTTTCCTAAGACAAGAAACCAGTAGGTATCTACACATGCATTTTTGCTCATCTTCCCCTAATTTATTTGAATTCAGTCCAGAAGCTTAATCTTCCAACCGCTTGGCAAGATTAGCTCTTTGCCTAGAGCCGTGGTCAGCAAACTGTGGCTCGCGAGCCACATACAGCTCTTTGGCCCCTTGAGTGTGACTCTTCCACAAAATACCATTGCCTGGGCAAGTCTATTTTGAAGAAGTAGCATTAGAAGAAGTTTAAGTTAGAAAAATTTGACTCTCAAAAGAAATTTCAATCGTTGTACTGTTGATATTTGGCTCTGTTGGCTAATGAGTTTGCCAACCATTGGCCTAGAGCGTCGTTCTATTCCCGAGACATTTGTTGAGCACTGACTATGCGCAGATAAACACATTAGGAAGCAGGGGACACAGAGCTGATTTGACACAATTATTTCTTCAAGGAATTTAAAATGTACTTGGAGAGACAGATGGGAAAAACACTAAGATATGAGGCCAAATGAAGTAAGTTCTATGTCCCAGTCATTCAGTGCACAAGCATTTATTCATTTATTTATTACTCACTCACTCTGTGCTGGGATAATTAAGCACTATGGAAGCAAAGCAGAGAGAAGGCACGTTTTGACGGTAGGAATTGTGGCAGGCGTAGCAGGGAGGTAGCTCGATGCTGAAGGTGATTTGTGTTTACTGGTGGGAGGAATGCATGGAAGAAGGAGGGGAGGGGTCCGGCCTTCTCCTTCCTCCTCCTTCTCCTCCTGCTTCTCCTCCACCTCTTTTTCCATGAGCTAATGCACCAGGACCGTGGTCAGCAAACTGTGGCTCTCGAGCCACATGTGGCTCTTTGGCCCCTTGAGTGTGGCTCTTCCACAAAATACCACAGCCTGGGCGAGTCTATTTTGAAGAAGTGGCGTTAGAAGTTTAAGTTTAAAAAATTTGGCTCTCAAAAGAAATTTCAATCGTTGTACTGTTGATATTTGGCTCTGTTGACTAATGAGTTTGTGGACCACTGCCCCAGGATAAAAATGCCAGCTGCACTCCAGAGTGGAGCAGTGCTCCTGACACCTCAGCTGCCTGGGGTCCTACAGGCTCCTTACTGTAATCACCTCCGCCTCCACTCAGTGTCCCTCCTTTAAGTTGTTTCCAAACTTTTCTTTGGCCCCAAATGCACCTCCAATGTTGTCTCAATTTTATTGTTAGAATTTACATCAGGAATGTTGAATCAAGAAAATTAGATGGCAAAGACATGTGACTTATGTGTTTTGAAAACTATGAAAAACGAAATGATCTATGTCTGGGATTTGATTCAAAATGATCCCAGAGTCAGGCATGAGGAATGGGTGGAGTCTACCTAAAATAAGGCCAGCCCTGAGCCCATCGCTATGTGGCCAGGTGATGGATGACTGCGGGGGGGGGGGGGGGGGGGGGGGGGGGGGTAGGGATTACTGTTCTCTCTACCTGTATGTGTATATAAGTATTACTTTAATAATAAAAAGAAAAAGGAAACTGAAAAGAAGATCAGGGGGGGAAAGGAGCAGAGCTTAGGCAAAAACCTGAGAATTTCCCAGTTGGAGAAAGAGGATGGGTCAGCACAGCTCCATGAATAATAGACATGACCCTTCTTGGGTTGTGGCTCGCACGGTCTTCAAGGCAGCCCTGGATGTTTGCACATACTTCCTCCTTGTTTATAATTCTTGTTGAGGTAGCTTATTCCCGCTGCATTTGTTTTATGTGGGTCATTTGGAAAGGGGAAACTACAGAGGAAACTGAACCCCAGAGAAGCAGAGGTCAGATAGGGGTTGGGTGGCTGCAGGATGCTGTCCGTCGTGCTGCCCGCCGGGCGGGGGCTGCCTTCCTCTGAAATCGGTTTTGTCCTCCTCCTCCGTGACACTGTCCTCACCACAGCCTTCTTAGGAATCCAAGATAAGTCTGTACCAAAGGAAGTTAAGGTTTTTAGACTCACGGAGTTATTTTCCCCTTGGTTAGTGGTTTGTAAATTTTAAAATATTAGTCCCTTAAAAATGGTGCTACTTTTTAAATTCTTGTTCCCAAACTTCAGAATTGTTGGCCAACAGGGTGTAGTCTCATTAGGACGATGCTCTATGGAATATTGTACCAACCAAGCGATGAGCCTGGGTGACTATGGATGCCCCCTCTCCCTTAACAGCACACAGAAAGGGGAATCTAGGAAATTTAGGGAATCTAGGTCACTCTAGGAAATCACAATATTCACGTTAAATCATCTAGGGCCCAGACCCTTTGGAGGAATGCAGGAACTCATGCAATGTGATAGAGTCCCCTGAAATTATTTATTATGAATGCTCTAATGGTATAGTCAACAGTTTAAACATCCCCCACTGTATGTATCGACTAATACCACCAAATCCAGGAGTAAGGTCACTGAACTAAATGGCACTGTTTTTTCTCAGTGAATGAGGGGATTGGAAAGTCTACAGTGTAGTGCCAACTCCAAAAGTCTGTGATCTCACACTTAGTCTGATTCTGTAACCCTCATCACAATTCTTTGTGTCGTTTCGGAGATCGCTGCCTCTCCACCCCAGCTCTGCTGGTGTCTTTTTGGATTGCTCTGATCCTTGTAAAATAGATTCTGTTTATGGAAGGTCACATTAATTGGGTGGTTTCTATGTACTAAACAGCCACAATAATCTACCCGATCCCTATAAAGCAGCTGTTAGATGAGAAAGCTCCGTCCTTTTGAATGAGCACAGAGCAGAAAGACATGAAGGTGACATAAAGGTGACATTGAATGTCACTCTGATGAATACCACAGCTGCAGGGCATGGGTAGAAACAACTTAGGAATGTTGATCAAGTAGTAAAGTCGAATTCTTATCCATTCGGATATAATTTGCTCAGATACCCTAGGATTTATACATGCAGACACCTGCATTTAAGGCACTTTACTGCACTCATGGGTGTTTAAAGAAGTGTAGACACATTAGCTGTAAGTACAATACTGTAATTGGTATTGGCAAAGGACTCCTATTAAGTTCTACAGGAGATGTGAGCAGGCATATCAGAGAAGACTTGGGGGGGGGGGGCTTTTACCTGGGCTTAGATGAATACTTCGAATGTGGACAAGTGAAGATTAGAGAAAAAGCGGTCATTCTAGATGACAAAAACCCCAAGCAAGATAAGGAGATATATATATTTTATTATTATTTTTTTAACTTTAGGTAAAAATGTAAATCTAAGAATCCAGGTCCATTAAAAATCTATCCTACCTCATCAGTCCTTTATTTTTTCACTGTTTAATATTGAAATACACCATATAATTAAGAGATTACATGCAAAATTATGACCGTTTACCTAGGTATTTATCTTGTGGCAAAACTAAAATGATCAATAAAGGAAATGCAGGAGGTCATTGACAATTTAAATACAAACCGCAAATTAGATCTATTTAAATACCACATTCAGCTTGTTTTTAAAGGTGTTGTTTATTGTCCAAAGGATAAGATGGACAATTATTGAGTTTAACAAGTTGGAATGGCCGGTGTTTCTGGGAGAGAGTTCACACAGGCCGGAGTGAGACGAGGTCCTGGGTTCTATTTCTTATTGAATAGCTAACAGTGTGTGACCATGAGCAAGCTGCTGCTTTCTGTGCTTGTTTTCTGTGTATTATCCTCAGGAAGGATTTGCTGGGTGGGGCAGGAGAGTCAGTCAGCATCTGCCAACCTTCTAGCATTTCTCTCAGCCCATAGACGTTTTACTGGTCTGTGTCTCACTGACGTGTTTTGCGAGCAGAGTCTGCTGGCAGAGAGCTCCACAGTTGACAAGGGGCAGCTCTGGTGATGCCGTGAGTCATGCTCTCAGTGTGTATGGACAGTCCCTCTTAGAACCCGATGATCTCAAAGCTAGAAGGGCCCTTTACAGATGAGGAAACGGAGATTCACACACATCAAGAGTCCAGCCTCCAGGAGCTTCCATCCAGTGTCCTTTCCAACACACGAGTCTCCTTCTGACATGGGCCTCCAGACTAGGTCTTGGAAACTCAGCCCCGAAGGCCAAATCAGCTGCCACCTGTTTCTGTAAATTGAGTTTGATTGGCACACGGCCTCTGCCGGTCACCTAGTACTATCAGTGGCTGCACTGGGTGCTGTGCACTGCAAGGCAGAGCTGAGTAGCTGCAGCAGCGCTGGTGTGGCCTAAACTACTCATCATAGGCCTCTCACAGCCAGCATTCACTGCCCCCAGCCTCGCTTACTCGTCTGGTCGTTGTGCTTGGAATCATAGGCATAAGGCAGCATGCAGAAGAAGAAAATACTGTCCCTCCTCAAAGCAATTACTTGCGTTTTAGAGAATGAGGCGTGCCTAAGACATGTGCGAGCAGCAATAACAATGATGTAAGAAAGGAGACAAGTTCTAGGCTGCAGGCTGTTTGCAGAACAGCCCAGAATGGTTACAGTAACATCTGTAACATAAATACAACATAAATACAGAGAACTA